TGATGAACAACAGATTACGAGTAAATTCTCCCTCTCCCTCTCCCTCTCCCTCTCCCTCTCCCTCTCCCTCTCCCTCTCCCTCTCCCTCTCCCTCTCCCTCTCCCTCTCCCTCTCCCTCTCCCTCTCCCTCTCCCTCTCCCTCTCCCTCTCCCTCTCCCTCTCCCTCTCCCTCTCCCTCTCCCTCTCCCTCTCCCTCTCCCTCTCCCTCTCCCTCTCCCTCTCCCTCTCCCTCTCCCTCTCCCTCTCCCTCTCCCTCTCCCTCTCCCTCTCCCTCTCCCTCTCCCTCTCCCTCTCCCTCTCCCTCTCCCTCTCCCTCTCCCTCTCCCTCTCCCTCTCCCTCTCCCTCTCCTTTTCTCTCTTCCAGTCCTTGTGAGTTGTGGGTAATATCAAAATCCCTGAAATTTTCAGCGATACAAGCGAGGTAGACTTTAACATGTTGACGGAGGAGAAATGTAATGAGACTTACGGGAGAGGCTCTAGAAACGCAGATAAACTGTTCATATCGCAGGTAACTTAGATCATCAAGAAAAGGTAACTTTATCTCAGATCATCAAGAAAGGGTAACTTTATCTCAGATCATCAAGAAAGGGTAACTTTATCTCAGATCATCAAGAAAAGGTAACTTTATCTCAGATCATCAAGAAAAGGTAACTTTATCTCAGATCATCAAGAAAAGGTCACGTTGTCTCACCCTAACACTAGACTTAATGACAGGAAAATGTCATTAGATACTATCTTTTATCGTTATGCTGAAATGTGTGTGCAATGTTGTAGTATCCAATTAGAATTCACAAATCATGGATTTAAAAGTGACAATATGGCATCCATAGTCCATAGTTAACTGACTAATTGGTTACTGGAAAAATATTCCGTCATAACTGTGAAATTTTGATTTAGTAAACTTTATATTTGAAAATATGCTACCGCAACCGGTAGTTCATTATGGTGATTTCATATTTGAATTTTTACTACGGGTAGTACATAATTATTCCAAGATCTCTGCCAGGTTTTTATCTCATCATATTATCGAAGATAGCAGGTTGTAGTGTTTTAATTAATGACCGTATAATTATAATATGTTAATAAGTGATTATATTCCCCAGACGCTAACATCGGGAGATACTGAACTGTACCAAGCACTAAGGAACTTCAACCGAGGGATTGTCCTGTCCAGTGATCCATTCTACAACATTCTTGTTGAGAGACTCTGCGCTGTTCGGGCAAGTATTTTGGCGTTCTTTGAGGGTATTTGGGGATTTTGGCGTTCTTTGAGGGTATTTTGGGGCATTTTGGCGTTCTTTGAGGGTTAATATGTTTTAAAACCGTCTTACATTGTTAGATAACAAATGAGATGAAAAATAAGATAACAAATATGAAAACAGATTATAAAGAAAATTATTTCATATACAGGGGAGGCTAATTAAAGTCAGTACACATAAATTGGGGCTTATTTCTCTGTCACTTAGTGCTCATTGACATTGGGTGAAATTGTCCGGCAGCTATAATTCTTCCTGGTATAACTTGATTCCGTTTTACGTCATCTTTTCAGATCATATTACACATTTAATGACCTACTGTGATAATATGTTAAAAGTTTCTAGCATCTTCACAAACACGAGCATAAGCGATTCAATGTTGATTGGGTGATGTGTACTGACTTTTACCCCCCCCCCCCCTGTTTTACAAAATTAAATTGCTAAATTATAAATTGCGAAATTTGGTACAATAACGTTACATCGTAAACTGACTTTCTTTTTCCCTCGCAATTGTATGTTCCTTTATCACAGCTTTATGTATAGCTACAAGGTATACATAAAGTGGTCATGTTATAAAGACACCTCCCCTGACCTATGCCTAAACTGCTGTTCTAGTACTTGTTACTCACATTTCTTAGCCATTACAGTGATTTCATGATTTGGTTACCTAAGAGATCCTTGATAGAATTTCTGTAGTCCTTATAGATTATTTAAATGTCAATCTCTTGTCGTATGAGTTGAAGTCAAGAGGTCGCTTCACTCACAAGTTATAAGAGAGAAGTTTAAGTTGGGTATTGGCCAGCTGGTGATCGTACTGTAGTGCGACACATACTCTAGTGCGGCAAGTACTCTAGTGCGAAGTCCGAAAAAAACACCCTCTTTCGCACTACAGTACGTGTCGCACTACGATCCAGGTAGCGTACTCTAGTACGACAGTGTTGATCTTGAAGGTTTCGCACTAGGGTATGTTTCGAACTATGGTACGTGTCGCACTACAGTACGGGAACCTGGCCAGCTCTTGTCTTGAAGTGGTTGTTTTACGGGTGTCAAATTTCTCACTTAATGAGGATAAAATTGAATATGGGATTCTATGAGACAACGGACGTGTTTTTTGGGGACATTAACGGACATTGACAGACATTGGTGGGCTCAGACGGACATTGGCGGACATTGGCGGACATTGGCGGGACAAAAATTATGAGAATTGTTCGCACATGATTTGGACACAATATTTTCGGCTCATAATGATCAGGGTAGCATGAAACATGAACAAAAGTAGTTTCCAGAAAAATGTTGACTTAGAAAATGTTCGGTCCGAGTCATTCTCGATACGTACCTCTGAAGGCAGAGCTCCCGCTTCCGAGCTCGTATTGCGAAGGGGAGGCCTGGCTTCCGAGATCGCATTATAAAGGGGGACCCTCGAGTCCAAAATCGTATATTGAAGGGTAGGTGCGCGAACTTCGAAAACCGAAAAAATATTTGACTTACAAAATTATTCTGTCTGTCTGTACGACCACCCACCTGCAAATTTGATGAGAAGTAGGAAGCTGCAGGTTAACCATGGTAACAGTGTTCAAAAGCGACTAGTTTTGGCCGCGAATTTAATTGTGATCAGACCTCTCGGCAAATGTAGTGTGTTTCGGCATCTTAGTGACATAACTCACATATTTCTCTTAAGGGCCTACTTTTGGTTTTGTAAAACCCGACGTTGATTGCGGCAGTAATTTAACTTATGCTTTACTCCGTGATTTTTTGCATGGAGAATTGTGGTGAAATACGTGCATGTGCTATAGGGAGTATTGTAAAGAATTACTGACTAAAAAGGTCTAATATATATAAAAATGATGTACATACGAATTTACCTAAAATTTACTTACCCGCGAGCGCAAATACTGAATGACTATGTTGTATAGAAGTATCAAAACGTTATTGTAATAGTGTATTTGACGCGCGCGCGCGCGTAAGTGTTTATTCGTTGTGCGCGTATGGAAGGCGGGGCTCAATTTTATCTATAATTTCGGAGTATAAATAAAACATCGTATCATTTTAAACCAAGTTGATCTACTGCACAAGCAACTGCACAATATTCTAGTGTATTCTCTCACACTTTAAGTTAGTGAACTATATTTCAACTGGATTAATTATTAAATTTTATTCAGCCCATTTCGGACTTGCACGAGTTATAATTATTATTATTTTATTCAGCCTTACTTTGGACACAGTAATCACGGAGGAGCAAAGCAAATGCCGAGGCCAAAAGATCAAAACTGGGCGATCAATCCAGTTTACAGCTACATATCATTCCTCGAAATGGCTGGTTACGTAAGTAGCTCCTAATTCATCCTCAGTCCTCCTTCTTCTTTTGGATAAAGAGTTTTGCATTTGGTCGGAACTTCTATAGCTTATGAGTTTCTAACAGATAAGGTGTTTTTTATTCTGTCCTCAAAACAAAAATATCACTTTCGTGTAAATTAATCTTCAATCTTGCACAAATAATTCCAATGTTTGCACACAAATAGAAAATGATTTCAGTTGATGAACATGAAGCGTGTAGGAAGACCCACGAACGAGTCAGACAGACCAACAGCTATAACGTATATAGCTGTCGGAAAGGAGTGGACACCAAGTAAACCAATTCAAGAGCTCCCGCTTTTTATTGAGGTTCGTTTCCGGGTGGGAAACTCCTTTCTTACGTAATCACTGGGAGGGAGGGAGGGGGAGGGGCCAATGGCATATAATGGAGAATTACCCAAAGGTTTTTTCCATTTTCTACCATTGCATACAGTTTGCAAAACCTATTATTCGTCCGGAACTATTTCTTGAAAATCTTTTCAACTCTGATTATCCCTGTATAGTACTATTCTCAGATAGTATAGTACTATTCTCAGATAAAGCACGAGCGAGCAAACAACTTCCAGCAAGCAAACCTCAACTTCAACCAGGAAACAAGCAATCACACGTCTGGGATTGTTGTTAGCATTACAAATAGTCTTGATACTAGACAAGCTGCTGCTGTGGAATTTGATGGTACATATTTTGTAGTCCTTATTTTGATTTCTGATATATTCAAGCGGCCGGGGATTTTGTCTCAAGACAAGTACTGCTGGCTGAATTTTGTGTCTAACTAAATATTCGCTACATTTCACTTCCAGCTACATTTCTGTTGGAAGCTGTTTAATTTTGATGTGATCACTCAACTTCAGATATTATGAAGTTAATAGCTGAAGGAATGTCCCGTCTCACCCATCATAACTAAAGTCTCCCTAAAACACTAACTCATTTCGTTCCCCTCTCTCCTTTCAGACCAAATGTTAAACGAAATCACCTCCGAGATGCCGGACGTTGATTTTGAGACCAATATGGAATTTACAGAAATACTGCGAAATTGTGGAGTGAGTGTGGACGAACCTTTGTCGGTTAGATAGTTAGATAACTACGCTTTGTAATACGAAAATATTTGCCAAAACTCTCCTCATCTTTACGATTATTTAATCGGCTACGTCTTGATGACCTTAATTCCTTTAAAAAGCAAGAAAATTATTTTTGTATGCAACAAGATTTTCTTAGATTTCATTTGATTTTACGATGACCTTATTTTCTCTTAAAAAGTATATGCTATTGTTTTTATGCAATCAGATTTCATTAGATTTTATTTGATTTAAATGAATAGTTTTCATTTGATTCCATTTGATTCAAATATGTTTTTCAGTACTGTGCTTATTTAGTTTATTTTTATATTTCATTGCTATTTTAATTTTGATTTCCGACTACCGCTTAAGTGCAATCGTTACTAGGCTAAAACTAACTTAATATGTATTCCAGCACTATGCTTATTCAGTTTATACTCATTTCTATCATATCGAATAAAAAATAATTTTACAGAACATCGTTTTCATTCTTTAGAATCTGCAGTTAACGCGTGACACCAAGAAATAATAAAGAGTTGTAACGATTAATAGTTTGAATTTAGGGTCAAATAAGTTAGTAGTTCTGGCAGCAAAAATAGATTACAACCTTACATCAACAAGTTCACACATAAATTCGAAGTCAAAGAAGTCAGTAGTTCTGGAAGTAAAGATTAATAACAACCTTAAGATATCAAAGAGTTCGAACATCTTATCGCATTATCTAATCATCATCTTAACTAAAACAAACAATTCATCAGACGTTCAAGAAATACTGCCGATAAATTGGAACATAGCTGAGTTCGGAAATGTCAAACGGAACATGAGGCCCCTCTTTGGAGAATATCGCCAGTGCTCCTTGAGCAGCGACCCCGTTCGCTAGACTTAGTCTGTCATTAATTTGAACACGTGTCACAGGATCGTGAGCCAGCTGTGGAGCATTCCCTGTTACCATCTGGGAGGAACGGAGTGATTAGGTCGGGAAACGACTATTAACCCTCAAAAATAATTCAAGTTCAAAACTGTGATAAACCGTAAATATAGGAGTAAACGTTGCATAAATAATTCCCCTGCTATATTTATAAGTTACTCCCTTACCGGCCAGATAGTAGACTTCAGAACATCCTCCAGATGCTTTTTCATGAACTTTGGGTCATTCTTATCTGCTCTTCTCAGCTCTTTTGTCCGCTCAGCGAACACTCGTTTAAACAAGTCCATTAGAACAGGCTGGTCAGCCATCTGAAGCATCAACGATATCGTAGGATTAAACCGAACACCATTCTGACTGCAATCTGTTTCTTTGAGGAGGGCCTCTGCAATTTCTCGCCGGAATAGTCCAATTGTTTTGATGTTGAGTGTACTGGTTAAGATGGTGCTAGGCAATCTCGCTACCTCCTGGAGAGTGCAGCATTTTAGTGATGAGTGGTTTCAATTATGGTTACAATTTAAACGGTCCTGAAATAATCACAAGTAGTCGTCAAGCCCTGGATAGAGGATACTTTAGACGCTGTGAATATATGGTAAACATATGACTGAGGTAGAAATATAACCAAGTACAACAATTCTACAAAACAAACCTGCTCTTTAAAACGTGATATAGACGACACACTGATGTTTATCTGAGGTTTGCTGGGCCGCCCAAACGTACGCCGGGGAGGCCAGTTTTCGTCTACATCTATACCAGCCTCAAATGGTAAACCTCCGTACAGCGGCAGAGACTGAGGCAAAGTTATAATTGTAAAACCACCGCCTTTTTAATCTGATAAAATTTATAGTGATATTAGAAATGGTCAAATTTGTATGGACGTAAATCTGCTGAATTTGATCACTTTTATTTGAGTACATTATATCACATTTAGTTAATTGGTTCTTATCCCTATACCTGTGTCTTGTTGGGAACAGGAGCACCGTTAGATTGAAAAAGAGGGAGAAACGTCCATCCAACACAAGCTTCCACTAGATCTGAAGTTTCCTCGTTTTTGTAAACACAGCAGGCCTGGCAAATGAAATTATATTAGCTACATAGGGCTAAGTATTTTCAAGCATGGGACTAATATCGTGAAGATTGATGTTTCATTCAGTCCCAGCCTGTGTCCAGTTCTGTCTGTTACGGTAGCTAGAACTGGTCTGGTACTGCAAGATGGCCAGTGGCCAGCCACTAGCCAGGTGAAAAACATGTTAAGTAACACGTTGCGCGCGCGCGCGAAAAGTAATAAACTAGCTGCTGAAAAAGGTCATTTAATCAACAATTTTACCATGCGCTCTCCAAATTAATAGATGAATCTTTCGACAAATCTGTTCCAAATAAAAAGTTCGAAAATCGAGTGTTTTAGTAAATAACTTAGAATACATTTTTGATTTTCTCAAGAACTGACCAACAGAGTTTTCTTTAACTTTCCAGATAGTTTTACATGGCTATAAGACGGATAATCTGTGCGAGTTTAATCGAATTTCTATGTTTCAAACTTGAGATATGTCTTCAAACACAAGAAAATATCTCCAAATTGGCGGTTTCAGCGGAACGCAGGCATATATTTCGAGATCTGACCGACAGAATTTTCTTTAACTTTCCAGATAGTTACATGGCTATAAGACGGATAATCTGTGCGAGTTTGGTCGAATTTCTATTTGCCAAACTTGAGATATGACTTCAAACACAAGAAAATATCTCCAAATTGGCGGTTTCAGCGGAACGCAGGCATATATTTCGAGATCTGACCGACAGAAGTTTCTTTAACTGTCCAGATAGTTACATGGCTATAAGACGGATAATCTGTGCGAGTTTGGTCGAATTTCTATGTGCCAAACTTGAGATATGTCTTCAAACACAAGAAAATATCTCCAAATTGGCGGTTTCAGCGGAACGCAGGCATATATTTCGAGATCTGACCGACAGAAGTTTCTTTAACTGTCCAGATAGTTACATGGCTATAAGACGGATAATCTGTGCGAGTTTGGGCGAATTTATTTGTCCCAAAGTTTAAAGAAAATCTATCAGTCAGATCTCAAGATAATCGACTTTCGTCAAATATCGTTCCGCGGAACATATGGAACGGAAAGTCCAACTCTAAATTCCAAATACATAATTTTGAGTGCTTTTTTGATCTGCGACTTTTTCAAACTGTGCTGCAGAATAATTCACCTTGCACCTTGTACCCTCAGTTACTGACGCTTTACCTCAATAAGAAGTCCGACATTAGCATCACTGGACTCGATCCTACAGATAACTTTAGGAGTAAACCAACAACCGCTGTTCCTGACGAACTTCCACGTGTTAGGGTCAGCCGCGTTCCACACACAGTTTATCGTGTGAGCGTTACTCAGCAGAGACTCTTGACTGGACATCTTGGTGGTTATTGCCATGTGCACCTGAGTTATAGTTTATTATCAATCAATCAACTAACTTAGCGATGTCACAAATATATTTTTCTTCTTCATCGTAAAAGTAATCATACAGTAGCACAAGAATTAGGAAAAACCAATTATTTTGAAGGTTTAAAACTAATGTTTTGGTTTCCATACCCTTCTGGCGACTATGAGAGCTTTTGGTTTAGGAGGGGGCAAGTTTCTGACCATGTTAACGGTAATAATCCTGAACATTTATATTCATGAATGTTTCTAAGAAAAATGAGCAATTTTCAGGTGAGTAGAGTGTAAATTGTAAGGTTTAAAAGAAGTCGTCTTCTCCTATTGTGATAACCGATATAGACTAGACACTAGTAGTCAGCTACTTTGATGCTTAAAACAACTGTTTAAAATCAGAACATGTTTATTTTCAAATAAACAAAGAAAATGGAGAGACTGTTAAACTGACCTGTTAATACTAGCCACAGGTACAATGTTATTGTTCCTCATATCCCAGTGAAGATCTTTATATGAAATACAGGTCGCAGAAAGTCTGGGATGAAGCCATGTACTCAACAGATATGTTGAGTTATCTAAGAGGAATGCAATTATTAATTCACTCGCTTGAATCAAGTTTTAGAAATGTTTATTGAACTTGTTAAGGGAGAAAGCAAGATTTAAGACAATGGATCTATGTGAGTTTGATCTTACAATCAGTGATTAAAATACCCAATACCCATTAATTAATTAAAATACTCATTAATGAATAACTACCTCGAAGAAACCTCATAGTAGTAGAAGGTCGAGAACCAGTGTTGAGTAACAATGCAGATCGGAGCTGTTCAAACTTTACGTTTTTTAACATGTCCCGTACTTGTTTCGGCTTCCTCTTCTCCCTCATGGACTCCTCTAACGTCTTCACCTGGAGGAAGTTATGTTGATAATCTATCTAAATATGTACTACCTCATAGTGGCAGCAGAATAGTAGCCCCATAGTGCCATTGTTCGCTCCACCTAAGCCCTCTTAGTATCCTAACTTAGCAAACAGCATAGGACCAAAAAGCGTGTTTCCTATATAAATATATAACACGAATCTAGGAAATTATTACCTTCATGAAGTTACTGGGTATCATGCCCGACTCTCCATTCTCCAGATTATCTGCTTCCCACCACCCGTCTCTTCTCTGAGATCTCACTGCGAACTTGTCTCCTTTCTTAAACGACAAATCCCCTGACTCCTGTCCGATTAAGAATATGGTAAACAGTAAACACATTACGAATAATTTTATTACTTAAAATCTAAATGAGTTAATGAGGAATAATGTAATTTATAATAACAGAATTATTCATTCACACTTTTGAATCTACTAACTCACAAAAATTAGAATATCATTGCTTAAATAACTTGATCAATTAATAAACAACTCAATTAATTACGGGGAAATGCCATGAAAAGGTGGATGTGAGTTCTTATCACGACTAACCAATGCAGTGTAATTTCCAACAGCCTCGCAAGCAATGCTAGGTAATGTGCTTGTTGTCAGATCTTCTGTATCCTCATCTTCAGTGTATTCCTCTTCTTCTTCCTCTTCTTCCACATCTGAAGTGTGTAAAGGTTTGTTACACTCTTGATTAATTAAGATAAGTGAAATATTCACTAATAGCAAACTCGATTAGGTCTTACCATCTTCATAATCGTCATCATCTTCTTCATCGACATCTTCTTCTTCTTCTTCGTCATCTTCTTCTTCATCTTCTTCATCTTCATAATCTAAACTCTCCTCTTCCCCCTCCTGGAGTGTAGAGCATATGATCAGCGATTCAAAATTCAATGGAGCTGGGCAATAATTCAATGGAGCAATTCTATGGAACAATAATTTCATGTTAGTTATGGAAACAAAAAACATTTAATTATCATTATCTTATTGTCAACAAAATAATATAACATATATATTAAATAAGCAAACATTTTTACCGACAAATCTTGTTCTTCTGCCTTGACAGATCTGAAATAATCAGCTTCGTCCTCATTTGGTTTGAGTTTGTCGATTAGAGTAATGAGGGGGACCTTTATGTTCTCTAATCTGTTCACTTCCGCCTTGTTTCCTGATTCTTGCATTATTTTTTGTCTTTTTTCCACTTCTCGTAGATGAAGCTGTGCTTTATTCAGCATTTCTTCAACCTAACGGACAATCAGGTTGTACTGTCTATGTATTGAAACTATTTAAAAAACTACAGATATTGAGGTTTTAGCGAAGTAAGCAATTGGAGCTGTAAATCAAAAATTGACAGAGACTTACTAATGCCACATTGTTTTCTGAATGTTGGATATTCTGTAGTTGTTTCGTGCAAGATTTTACAAACTGACTAGCTTTTCTGAATACAGCATCATTTTCTTCTGATAATGACATCTTCATTTTCTATAGTGGAATGGATTAATCTGCTGTGATTTGACAACAGAACCTCAATGTCAATAGAAATTTTCGACAAAAAGTCTGTAAAATATCTATTTATATTATAAATAACTCAGTCAAAACTGTAAGCTTTCAGGAAAAAGTTTATATTAAAAAATCTTCCAATTTATTAATTAAAGATTTTAAATAAATTAGTTCGCTGCACGACAAAGGGGGGCCCTCCATTATTAGGGGTCAGATCATATGACGTATAATTAGTGATGTGACGTATAATTAGTGATGTGATCCACCAGCTATGATTTACAGAACATGTGAACTCTACCCCTAATCAAATTTACTGAATACTGAATACTGAATACTGAATACTGAATACTGAATACTGAATACTGAATACTGAATACTGAATACTGAATACTGAATACTGAATACTGAATACTGAATACTGAATACTGAATACTGAATACTGAATACTGAATACTGAATACTGAATACTGAATACTGAATACTGAATACTGAATACTGAATACTGAATACATTAATTATAATTTAATACATATCGTGCCCAAAAACTGAGGCTACAGAAAACAAATACTCGATCTTGCTAGAGTATGTGGAGTAAAATGAACAGATATCGTGGAGTTGGGTATGGCAATTCCTTCGCCTCTTAGCGGGTGTCTTGCCAACACTCAACCTGTCGATGTGAAAGTCAGTGATGACTTGCTGCTCTTTGATAGCTCTCACATACTTAAATCCTCTGTGAAAGCCCTCAACCATGTTCGAGGTTCGAGGGAACTCCGGATCCCGAATGATTCTGGCGAAATGGTTCCAGAATCCTAAGGGATATGCAGGGAGAAGCCTCACCTCACTGTCCACAATGACTGACCCAAGGTAAGTCTTCTCAAAATAATTCACTATAGACATTAGCTTAGGATAGTTTGTCTGTATATAGTAAGTTATTTCGTAGAAGACTTCCTCGACATCAGCCACTGGACACGAACACTTCGTAGGGAGTTTGTGCTTGCAACACCGCCAGGAAGATGTGAGGGCTGAATCCTTGTTCTTCTTCCGACAGTAGATGAATCCGTCAGAGTCAAGTAGCTGTTGAGATCCTGTCCGACCAGAGATGAATTTGGAGAAGGTAGGCATGTTGATAGAATGTAAGAATGCGATACTATTGTCTTTCATCTTTCAGTATATAATATACCTAAGAACACTTGATCGGCTCACTCTCCTTGCATGCCTTTGGCACGTACGTCTCACATCCCTTGATACGAAAACCCCCTTTAGCAAGAGCTCCCGTCCCTTATGTGATCTACGAGTCGAGCAGTCAGATCATGTTTACTTCTTAATGTACAGCTATGATTTACAGAATTGACATGTGAACTCTACCCTATATCTAGCTCATTTCTGGGTCTACTGATGGATCACATGGATGGATCACATCACTAATTATACGTCACATCACTAATTATACGTCATATGATCTGACCTCTAATAATGGAGGGCCCCCCTTTGTCGGCCTCCCAATTAGTTTCTAGAAATCATACATCACTAAGAGTTACTCATGCTTTTGAATTATAGGAGTGCGGATTGTCAGGTATTTCATTCATTCATACTTAATCAGTTTAAAGCTGTATACTTAGAACTCACTATTGTTTAAACTATGAAAGCAGAACGTAGATAATGGACAGTATACCGACGACAATACCAAGGACCCGAGTGCCGCATTGACTTTTCCGGATCCGTTTTTACCGAAGGCTTATCCACCAGTTACTCATGCTGCATGTATAGTCTGATAATATTTTGTTTTATCTCTAGCAAGCATTCTGTAAATTGGAGTGTCGTATTTATTATAGAAGAGCCAGCCAACCTCCGCATTATAATCTTTTGTGTGCCAAGTTCGTTTATATAAAATCTAAAGGTTTCTTTGGGAATAAAACTTTGAGAACCTCAATCACAGGGGGGCCTGAAACCAGGTTTTCGATCAAACGTCGCTTAACCCTGCCATTTGTATTTACTTGTAGCTAATCGTCACCGGTAGTAGTCAAACGTCTCCAAAAGCGATTGAAACGCTGCGCATTCATTGCGCACACATGTAGACCTAATATCTCTAAAAAGAGTTTGCGTCGGACGTACTTAGTATAATGTTTGATTACATCATAATAAAATCAACAGCATGTGGTCATTGCATTGGCAGCTAGCTAGATATGATGGGAGGTACGTTTTGCCATTTGAGCTGTCATATTATTATACCGTACCAGCCGAAAATTACATTATATATAAAGCATTGGAATAAATCACAAAAATGTGATAGGTGGATTATATTGATGCTGCAATTATATAACCATGTGTAATGCACGAGTTTCCATCGTTAATTTATAATTATAAATCATGATTTTGCAATTTGCAATTCAATTTATGATGCGATTTCAGACGCAATTCAAGATTTCGATGTGTGCATAGTGCAGCTAAAGTTATACCTACTTTTTATACCAGCACGGTTATAACATAATAATATATAAACTGAACTTCAATGCAATATACATTATACTATTGCAATCGTGTCTTGTGCCATCATCAGTGACCTTGTAAGCTAAGATGGTGATTCAAGAAAAATTCAGTCAAAACAGTGAAATTTGCAATTTGGGTCGCAGAAATCTGAATTCGAACTTACTGGGCCGCGCTCAGCCTGTCATTCCGCCTAATCTCTAACAATCTCTGAACAGCTCACTGTACTCTGTGCCAATGAGCACACTGCAGCTGCAGGCATAAGTGAATTGAAACAATCCTTAGACTCATTACAGCCATTGCATAATCCTGGCCCCTGCATTCCTCCCACCTCATTGCATCCAGGACCTCCTACTCAGCACCTTCGTTCTCCAGTCCCTACAGTCCCTGTGCAGCTACCCAATCATGAGCAGAAACCTGTGGAAATGTTCAAAAATGACTACAATGATCAGCAAACAGCAAATGATTTAGGTGAACTTTTTGTTAAGGACAGTGGTCACTTCAAAGTTGAGAACGACCGCTCCTGCCTAACATATGGGGAAAGGTATGATTACCCAGGTTCCAAGTCATCTGAAAAGCCACAGGCAATACCATCGGTTCTCAAGGAACTCATTGACAAAATCAATAATGAGTTCTGCCAGGGTGATCTACCTCAGATCAACAGCTGCTTAGTAAATCGGTTTGAAGGAACAGACAGCAAGCTACCTAGACACTCTGATGATGAGCCGACCATCCATCCAGAGTCTAAAATATTCACTGTCTCGCTTGGTTCTGCATGTCAGGTTTCTTTCTCGGACTCTCACACAGGCACTGATAAGCACAAGCAGCAATGTGACCCACGTTCCTTTTATGTTATGACACGTCATAGCCAAGCACTGTTCAACCATCGTATTGATGCAGGTGATATAGAAGGGCTACGTTACAGCATCACACTTAGATCCGTGAATTCGTTGAACAGAAATGCCACATGCATCATCGGGGATTCAAACACTGGAGGCTTGAAATTTGGTACTGATCCTGCTAAGTCATTCGGCAAGTGGTTACCTGGCAAACGCATCTTCGCTCCGGTCATTGATAGTATAGATCCTTATGTCACGTTGGGGTATAGAAACTGTGTAATATTGTGCGGGGTCAACGACCTCAAAAACGAAGAGGTCAAGAACCAACATGACATTGAACTTATTTATAATGCATTAGCTTCAAAGATTGCACAGATACAATCTGTCAATCCGTGTATACATGTTTTTGTTTGTCCAGCAATTTCCTCTAAACGTGCTGACTTAAATAGAAAACTTATATATTTTAACAGTTTGATTCGACGTAGGCTGCTCCCGTCCAATTTTGGTGTCAGTTATGTGGATGGATTTGATGAGTTCTGTGATAGAGATGGTCTACTTGACCGCTCTCTCTCTCTCGCGACCTCAACAAACACCAAAAACCAGACTTCCTTCACCTCAACTGGAGGGGACTAGCAAAGTTAGGTCAATTTATTCGTAACACTGTTCTTCTCAGGATTAACGGTGGTATCGACAAAAGGAAGAGGAGGTCCACAAGGGTAGACAGTAGATCCTTCAGGGATGTGACTGCTGGAAGAGAAACTGGTCCTGTTGTTCCTGCTGCTGCTAGTCAGGGTCACATGACTCCCCTCATTAAGGAGGTATGTCTTGTCTGTTCTAAGAACATAGTCATCGGCCAAACAATAGTTGAATGTTTCCACTGTGACTGCATAATGCACCATAAATGCTATCGCAAATCCAATACAAATAGCCAATCTAATGAGTTTTACTGTACTCGTTGTATCCATTTAGACAAGGTTAAATATAACCCATTTAAACTACTCACTGACGATGACGACAACGACAACAACCTAGACGAATACACAACCAAAATCTCGAATACTTTAAATAATTGTAACTCATACACTGCATCTGACCTTACCAATATTCTCTGCAACCAAGTAAAGAAACAATCATCTATTCTCTTTCAAAATATTGATGGAAATAAATCAAATTTTGACAACCTTGCCATTGAAACCAATAGGTACAAAACAAAATTCTCCGTAATAGCCCTAGCTGAAACCAACACTGGAAAAGAATTAAGCAATCTATTTCAGCTCGACGGTTATAATAGTTACTATCAGGACACAGCACCTAACAAACAAAAGGGCACTGGAGTAGCCCTTTATGTTGACGATAGATTAAATGCTACAGTAATTGAAAATATATCACAAGTCACAGAACATCTAGAAATACTTGTCTTATCATTAAGTAACGAAGATCAACCTGTTAATGTAGGTGTTTTGTATCGTCCACCAAGTGGCTGTATTTCCCAAGCTCTAGTTGAACTTTCTAACCTTCTTGATCACATGCCGAAGTTCAGTTATCTAGCTGGAGACTTTAATATCGATCTTCATGATAAAGATAACAAAAATGTACAAAAATATGAAGAAATATTGTTCAGTAAAGGATTTTGTCCGTTAATATCTATTGCTACT